TGGCTTTCTACAGCTCGCCCTCATGGCACATTCCCCTGATGTCAACAAGGGTTTGACTGTCGGTCACTTATCGCTCACCTCATAAATCATATATACTCCGAATTTATTGAGCTAAGTCAGAGGTTACTTGGAAAAGCTCCCTGTCTTTAATTCTTTCAATATATTAACCATTGACAATAGAGACTGAATCATAGAGGAGACTTTACAGTTGGACTGAAGCCCAGGCTGCTAAACACCCCTAACCGAGGCTGTGCTCAACAGTAATTTAATGGAGCAGTGTTTTCCTCTGGGGCTAATTCATGCCAGGTTATACATCAATCACGTTTAATCACCTACTAGAAAGAAACAATATCACAGTCATCTTTGTGGCTTTTACATTGGGACATTTTACATTGGGACCAAATCCTCCACAGCAAAACAAAATAGAAAAAGGGTTTTGTGTATAAAGATGAATATATTCATGATGTCATAAGATAAATGATTTTAAAAACACTTGCGGAATATTCCCCATATTGGATTTATTTGTTTTATATGATAACATGTTCACCTTTGTGAAAATGATTGCTCCATATTCAAGTCTACCGATCCCAGGTACATTCAACCACTGCTGACGACACTAGAATTGATTGTTTGATTAGCAATTTGTTCACTTATCGGGATAATGTTTTTTTTAACCTGTATCCTCACAAGTCGTAAGTCTATGAGCGTGATAAGTAAATGCAATGTAAATAAAATAACCGTTGACAAGACTGTCAAAACAACACTCTCTCAACACTGAGACACTACAGTCTTCGTGACTGAATAATCTGGAATCAAAGGTTACAACGACCCTCGTGAGTTATTACAAAAGCCAGTATATTTACTTTTTAGTATCAGTTAATGACATCATGATCATGATCATGTAATGATCTGGTCACAGTCTGTCCACATAAGAGCCAATAATATATAAACAGATTCTTAAAACCGGTGACTGGTTTTAATGTTTTGACTGATCTTAATATAAATGGCCAATTTTTAAAGAGTTCATTCTGACCCTTCAATAATATTATTTATCTTCTAGGTTCAGTCATTTCCCATGGTTTCATGGCTTCATGGCTTGACTAGAAATGCAGCAATGAAGCAATGAGCCACAACATTAAAACCGGGTAATGGGTTTTAATATTGTGGCTGATCGGTGAACATGGTCTTGTCCCATAAACTTAACCTCTGAACACTGTGGCCCAATTCATGCACCAATAAAACCTCTCTGCTGTTTTTCTTTTTCCTGGGCATTCAACAGATGATTTATATGCTCTTAAAGCTGGCTTTATACCTACTAGTATAGAAGTTCCCTTATACTCAATGACTGTGTGTGTATATGTAAATGTGTGTGTTGTTACAGGAGAGCAGTATTTGGAGGATGTGTGTAGCCACAGGGCCTGCTGAGGACATGTGTGGACCACAAATGGCAGATAACAGTGTTCAGACACAGAACAAAGACACTAATGTGGGGCCAGAGAGGACTGGAGGGAACCTACACAGGTGATAACACCTAATACCACAACTCTAAGTTCCTAAGAATGTCCTGGAGAAGTGGTGAAAGATGCACTGGGTTACATACTAGCATATACTTGTCCTATCAGGTTAAATGAGATTCCATCCAATCAATCATTCTGTAAAGGTGGAGACACGTGGAGACTCAGTTTTCACTAAATGTGAACTATTTGTATTTGGATATATTTTGTGGATTAGGAGAAAATGCTTATTAAGTGCTCATATACTCTTATTCAGGTTCATAACTTGAATTTTAGTTATTAAGTGAAAATGTGTGCGCTCTAATGTTCAGAAAACACAATACTTTCTGTCCACTGCTGCAGCTCCTCTCTTCAGTCTCTGTCAGAAACACTTGGTTTTAACTCCTGTCTCTTTGACAACTCCCTCCAAGTCCAAAACTGATTACTGCTTTGGGGCAATGATTCAGCCAAGTCATTTTCTTTTGCCATACAACTGTATTTTCTCAATCTGGATAATCAGATTTGTAAGTAATGGACAAGGTCTTGGGGTTTCCATTTCTGGTTCGACCAATCACATTTGAGACTACAGTTGGTGTGAAGAGCAAAAGAGGTAGAACACACTGACTGAAATGGATCTGCTATCCGAGAGAAGTGAAAATGTCTTCTGGACCCAAAACACTGCAAAAAGTAGGACTGTTTGTGATAAAAGAAACTAATCAGAGTGTAAACAGTGTATGCAAATCTTGGCACAGATTTCCACTGACGATAACGAGATTG